CGGTGGCAGAGAAGGGGCTCGGGTTGAGAAGAGATGAGGCCTGCAGGGGGAGGGTTACATGACCTGGGCCTGTTACTTAACCGCTCTCTGTGTTTTTCATCTGTTCCATTTCATTGTGAGGAAAATAAGATAATGTGTGTAAACTGTTTAGCCTAATGACTGACACATAGTAGGTGGGCAGTTCACATGAACTTTTAAAAAGATGCTGGGAATAGACAGGGCCCAAGGGACTTCCTGTTGGACCTGAGAGCCACACAGGACTTCCTGTGGGACAAGCCAGAAAAATCCTGGCACAGTGTGTGTCCCTGGGGATTGTGGCTAGAGAGCCTGCTCTCCCTAAGAAAGGGATTGTACAGACTCTGCAGGGACCTGCTGGCCTGGAAGGCAGAGAGATGGAGTGAAGCTGGACCGTGTTGGATTGAAAACTGACTGTTATCTCTGCCCGGCTCTGGGGCTCTGGGCTTATGTCATCTCCTTCTTCAATGGAATAGCAAGTCCAACTGATAGTGAAGCATCCATCTTATATAAAAACTGCTGTTTGAAATTTTAACCCTGCTAGTTTGGCTTCTGTAAACGCTGGCCTGCTTTAATAAAAGGAAAATAAGACTACTCTCATTCCAGAGAGGCCATAAACTATGCCCCGGACGGAGTTGTCAGTGTTGATACCAGGACAGGCTTTGAGATATGGTCTCATAGCCCCTTTCCAGCACGCAGGCCTTATTTCTCAGAAGGCTGGGAAGTCTCATTCCAAATTTGGGAGACAACGGACTAAATAAAAAAAGTTTCCTCCATGTTGGGGGGCTCAGTATTTGAAAGACACATTTTTCTCTGGGCCTGCGCATAATTATAATTAAAATGTAACTCCCCTTTCTCTAAGAGTCCAGGACTTTTCGGACCCTCTAAAGATTACTACTGACCCACTGACTATATTTGGCAGAGAATTAATTTGATCAAGCGTATAGTCCTCCGGGGTCAATATAACTCCCTCCCCAACAATGACCCAGAAGAATCAATGATTTGACTCATGTACATAAAAGCAGTGGGGAATGAAGCATCCATCTTATATAAAAACTGCTCTTTGAAATTTGAACCCTGCTATTTTGGCTTCTGTAAATGCTCACTTCCTTAAATAATAAGAAAAATAAGACTACTCCTGCCCTAGCCAGTTTAGTCTGGTGGATAGAGCGTCAGCCTGCTGACTGAAGGGTCCCAGGTTCGATTCTGGTCAAGGGCATGTACCTTGGTTGTGGACACATCCCCAATAGGGGGTGTGCAGGAGGCAGCTGATCGATGTTTCTCTTTCATCGATGTTTCTAACTATCTCTCTCCCTTCCTCTGTAAAAAATCAATAAAATATATATTGATATATATTGACCCCTAAAAAGGGGTCTTCTTGAAAAAAAAAATACTACTCCCAATCCAGAGAAGCCATAAACTATGCCCCAGACAGAGTTAGTGCTGGTGCCAGGCCAGGCCTTGAGATATGGTCTCACAGCCCTGTCCCAGCAAACAGAACTTTTTCTCTGAAGGTCCGGAAGTCTCATTCCAAATTTGGAGACAAAGAGCTGAAAAACATACAAATTGAAAAGATTTCCACCATATTGGGCCCCAGAATTTGAGAAGCAAGTGTTCCTCTGAGCCCGCTAGTGCTAGCAAAAATGAACAGGACTCCAAATAAATTTGGCTTATTGATTAAGGCGTCTTCTGATTTACAATATAGCACAGTGTGCTGGTAAGAAGGCTTGGCAGTGAGGCTGGACTAGAGTGAGGCAGCTGAGGCACCTGGCACAGGACTGAGGAGGCCAGGGGCCTAGTGGAGGGCCGTGTGGGGCTGGGGGACACATTTCTTCCTTCCCTGATTTGATCCCCTCTCTGCTGGAGGTAAAGGGCCCTGGGTGATTATGTCCTCCAACCCTGTCTGCGAGCTGGAGGGCTCCTGACCTCCCTGTGGGACCTTTTTCTCTTCTCCATGGAGTAACCCTGACCAGAGGGAGGCAGTGAGGCTTAGTGACCGCTATCAGTCAGAATGGGGCTGCCAATGTGGTGTAATCTGAGGGCTTCTGGGTAGATGCACATGTTCTCACCATAGAAGACAGAGCTTCCTGCACCAGCTCATCCAGTCGGGGGTCTCATCCTTAGCGATTCATACACCTGCCTTGGTTAATCCCGTCTTTCATTATTACAGGGATGAGGCAGATGCACTCTATGCAGACTTGCGCCAGCTGGAAACACTCGTGGCTGAGGAGGACGAAGACATGCCCTCAGCAGACCAGCTACATGGGGAGAGCTTTATGAAGGAGTTTCCTCAGGTGAAACAGAACCTTGAGGAATACATAGGAAAGCTCTACGCACTTGCTGATGAGGTGGACAAGGTGCACAGGGACTGCACCATCACCCAAGTGGCGGCCTCTTCCACTGGCATTGTGTCTGGCATTCTGATCATCGTTGGCCTGTGTCTGGCACCATTCACAACAGGAGCTAGCCTGGTGCTTTGGGCAATTGGGATCGGACTGGGGGTAGCAGCTGCTGTGACCAGTGTGACCACCAGAATTGTGGAATACTCAATGAACAAGTCAGCAAAAGCCAAAGCCAGCCACCTAGTATCAACTGGCAGTGACACAGAGAAGGTGGTTGTGAAGGTTCCACGTCCCAGCACACCCGAAATTGCTTCCTTAGCAAGGAAGTGCTTCCAATCCCTGCAAGTCATTGTGAAGAATTCCAGTGCCTTCAATCTGGCCAAATCCAATCCTCGCTTAGCAGCTGAGGCCATGAGCTTCATGCGCACAGAGACAATCTCAGCCCAAAGCGGCAAGCAGGTGCTGAGAGCTTTTAGAGGCACTGCTCTGGCCATGAGCAAAGGAACCACCATCTTTGGTGCAGCCACGGCAGGTTTTTTCCTTCTCATGGATGTAGTGAACATAGTGAAAGAGTCAATGCACTTACATGAGGGCGCAAAGGCTCGGTCAGCTAAAGAGTTGAGGCAGCAGGCCCAGGAGTTGGAGAGGAGGTTAGAAGAACTCACCTGCATTCACGAATATCTACAGGAGGAACTGACTCCGTGATCCCCAGACAGTGCAGGGAGCAGGGTGTGTGGGAGACAAAGGCGTGGACTTACCTTGTTAGAGGGGGAAAGCCAGTGAGATAAAATGGATGGAACTGTGTGTTAAGGAGTTTGGTATTTCTAAGATGAGCACAGAAAAGGAAGGGTTCATGCAGGTGACAAGTGGGTAAAAGAGACAGAAGGAACCTAGAGCCTGGAATCAGGGAAGAGAGGGGGAAAGAGAGTGAGGGGTGGGGCTTTATTTTGACTAAAAAAGACATTGGGGTCATGAATAAAGAAAGAGAAGTGAAGGAATAAGCACCAAGAAGGCCAGAACTACTAAAAAGTTGAGAAGGAGAAAGAGTTTGAGTTGTTGGGATATGGGAGTTACAGTGGCTCCTGGATTGGCCCTCCCCAGGGTTCACCGTCCCAGCAGGAACCCCATCTCTCCCTCGTCCTGGTCTCTAGCCCTACTTTCCAGTTCCAGTTCGCTTTTGTCTTCCAGCAATGCATCTTAGGTAGGCAGTGACTTTTTTAAATAACTATATACAGTTTAATGAAAAATAGTAATGATTGTGTAACCAAATAGCTAAAAGTATAATCACAGGTTTTAACCATTCCCTGATTAGTACACAATCAACAGAGCAACATATCTATATGAATAGATTAAGCACATTGAACTTGAAACACTGTGGGTGGCATAGGAGTAGTCCAAGCAATTATTCAAGAGACCCAACTATGGTCACATCTACCCAAGCCATAGAAGAGATTACAGAAATTTTTTTATGTTTTAAATAGAAATTCACATATGTTATTGGACCGACAGTAGTTATTCATACTTCATTAAGAAAATAAATTCTAAAAGATAATGACTTGTTTATTATTCATTTTCTATACCTGTATAGGCATAAGCTAAAGGCATTGAAGTTCTTGCTATTAGAAATAATAACCAATTAATATATGATAATTCATGTTTCCTCTTACTTTCTCTTTCAGTCCCTACCAAAACCTTACATTGTCAATGCTGTAAGAATGATAGGACAAATTTTCAATCAGGGAGCTCAAGGCATAAATATAGAAACACACTATTAAATGTTTGGTGGTGGGGCTACATCAGGAAACAAGGATAAAAAACCTTCATGGACCTTACAATCTCAGATTTGTGTTAAAATAGGTACAATTATGGCTTTGAGAATTATGAATGAAGCTGCTCAAATACATATTCATAATAAAGTATGTTCTTAAAGAACTGCATTAGTAGCCAGGGGATTTGTATGTTCTTTTTTTAAATTTAAATTCTTTATTGTTTAAAGTAGTACATACGTCTCCTTTTCCCCCCATTGACCCCTCCCAGGCCACCCGCACCCCCCAGCAGTGATTTTTTATTTTTATTATTTTCAATTTTGTTTTATTGCTTAAAGTATTACAAAGAGAATTACATATGTCTCCTCCCC